TGCTCTAAAAACCCGGGCTACCATTCTTGTATAAGTGGCGCCGGAATTATTGAGCCCAAAGGCCATGACGAAGTAGCAAAAAATTCCCTCCGGGGTCATGAAGGCAGTTTTCTCCGCGTCATCTTCATGCATTGATATCTGGTGGTACCCTCTGAACGCGTCGAGGAACGACATCAACTCGCACCCCGCCGTCTCGTCCACCAACTGATCAATGTTGGGGAGAGGGAATGGGTCCATTGGGCACGCCTTGTTCAGGTCAGTGTAATCAACACACATTCTGAACGTGGGCGGCTTTGGTGCAAGGACGACGTTCGCCAACCACGTGGGGTACTTCACCTCTTTTATGTGCTTGATGGAGAGCAGCATGGCCACTTCGGCCTTGACAAATTCCCTCCCGTCGGCTGAGAGGTAGCGCTTCTTTTGCTTGATGGGGGAGGAGGTCGGGTCGACTGAGAGCCGATGCGTGATCACTTTTGGGCTGATGCCTGGCATGTCCTCTGGTCCCCATGCGAAGACGACGACGTACGCTCTCAGGACGGAGAGTATGTCCCTTCGGATATCTTGGGGGAGCTGGGTCCCGATCTTCAGTACGCGTTCCGGCCGAGAGACGTCCAACAGAACCTCTTCAACGTCTCCGACCCGTTCGGCCTTTGGTGTGTCTTCTTCGGCCGAGGCGGTGGTGATAGTGTCTATCCGCTCCTCGGCCTCATTGATCTTCCTGGTGAGCTTGAGGTAGCAAGCCCTGGCTATCTTCTGATTGCCTCTGGCATAGCCGACACCGTCCTTGGTGGGAAACTTGAGGCATAGATGTTTCATGGAGATGATGGTCTCAAGGTCCTCTAAGGCCGGTCGGCCCCAGATCATGTTGTGGGCGCTGTCCAGATTGACGACCACGAACTCCATATCAATCTTCGCCTGATAGGTACCGTCACCGACCACAACGGGAAGCACTATCGTGCCCTCGGCGTCGATAGAGTCCCCGGTGAAGCCGGATAACGGAGTCCGTATCGGCCGGAGCTCGGTTTTCTTCAGCTTCAGCTGCCTGAATGTATCAACATACATTACGTTGACGAAACTGCCAGTGTCGATGTATTTGCGGTGGATGATGTTGTTGCCAATCTCGCATTTGATGACGAGGGCGTCTCTGTGGGGCAAGGGGCCGCAGGGGAGGTCCTTGTCGGTGAAGGTGATGGCCTCCACGTGCCGTCGCTTCGGCTGAGGGGGGGGGGGGGGGGCGTGGGACACCTCACCAACGTATAGGGACTGAGCCCATTTTTTCCGTTGGGTAGCCGAGTCCCCCCCTGTGTTCCCGCCGACGATGATGTGAATGTGATGCTTCTTCTGGCGGGGCTCTTCTTCGTCCTCATCTTCACTGAGGGCGCCGATCTCCCTCTTTTTCCCGGAGGATCCTTCCCCCCTTTTGCCAGGGTTAACCCAAGTGTTACTCTTGGGGGCACCCTTGACAAATTGGGAAAGTTCCCCCTGTCGGATGAGGCCGTCGATGTGCCTCTTCAAGGTGGTGCAATCCTCGGTCTTGTGGGATGTCTGGCGGTGATACTTGCAATACGTCCCTCCTTTGTGGACTGCAAATATCTCCTCCTCTGATCTGGGGTCCTTTACAATGAGGCCCTGCGCCTTAGCGTGGTCAAGGACAACGCTCACCGGGTGGGTGAGGGGGATACGTTGTGCCTCCAACTTTGGACGCCACGAACGATCCTCTCTTCGCTGTCCGCCTGGCTCCTGGTGTGCCTTCTTCTGCTGGTTCTGTCCCTTGTTGGCTGGCGCATGGTGGGGGTTGGACGAGGAGTCCTTCTTCTGTTGTTTTTCCCCACCCTTCTTCTGGTTCAGGAGCTCGTCGGCGTCAACGTGCCTGTCTCCGCGTCGTAGCGCCGCGAGATATGACCGCGGGGGCTCCGTGAACAGACTTCGGGCGAAGTGGCTCGGCCGAAGTGCTCCGCGGAGGAAGGCCAGGAGGGTGCGTTCATCGGCTCCTTCACATTCGTCCGCCTCCCTCGTCTAGCGATCGAGGAAGGTTCGGAGCGTCTCCTCTGGCTGTTGTTTGATGGTCAGGAGATGAGCGAAATGCTTCTTCGCACGTTTTCTCCCGGCAAAGTGGGTGAGGAAGCGTTGAGCAAGGTCCTGCCATGAGTCGATGCTCCCCTCCGGAAGGTTGTTGAACCAATCGTACGCTGGTCCCTCCAAGGTGGATAGGAACCAGCGACACATGTACTCCTCCGAAGCGTTGGTCATCATCATATTGTTCTGATAACGGGTGAAGTGCTCCTGGGGATCGGTGCGGCCGTCGTATGGCTTGATGGGATTCCCCTTGTACTTTTCCGGGATGGGAGCGGAGAGCACCCTTGCTGAGAAGGGGGTCCTTGTTCTTATCTGGATGACGGGCTCGTCGCGTCGGTCGGCCAATTCCCTTTCCAGAGCGCTGACTTTGTTCAGAAGCGCGTCATAGTTGGGATGCTGGGGTGTAAGGGCCGCTGCACGCCCTGCGGCCTCCCGGGCCTCCATATCAGCAAGGCGCTTCTCCAGGCGGGCGATGATCTCATCCCTTGGGTCCGTGTTGGTCGTGGCGCCACCCAGAGGGGCCTGGGTGCGGGCCGCGTGGGCCAGGTCGATTTGGTGACACGCATCGTCATCATTCAGCTTTCCTTTTCCTTTGTCTGGTCGGGGCCGATCCGTTGTCCGGGAAACGGACCCGAAGCTTTCCTTTGGTGATCCCGGCTCGCGACCACCCAACCGATCCGCAACCCTTCCCGTAGGTACCCGACGGCTCGCGATGTCACCCAGCCTGTTGAAGGCCGAGATTTTACCGCGAGGCTGGGCCGGTGTATCCTGGGTAGGAGAAGCGGTATGGGAGTGGGTGTCCACGGCGACGACACCCTCGTCGTTGCCGAAGAAGGTGACGCCGAGCGGGCGGGGTAGCGGTGGTGGCACCGTCGCGACCTCTCCAGTTGCTGGAGTGTTGTTCTCCCCTGTCTTTGCGACGAGAGCGCTGACCACGTTGGGGTCCTGGAGGATGCTTGCGACGATGGCCGATAGTGCGGCCGGGTTGATCTGGGGGCAGCAGGGTGAGAAGCCTGTTGGCCCGAAGCGCGATCAGCATTGCGTCTGTCCTCGAGCCCGATGCGGGCGTCTGGGGCAGTCTTGTTGAGCTGGGTGCGAAGGTCGGCCGCTGCGAGCTCGACCTCCTGAGCATTCTCATCCTGAATGATGAGATCATTGGGGACGTTGTCAGCAACGTTTCCCTGCCCCTCCTGGTTCAGGGGGCATTCCTACCGGTGTTCTTTGACCTAGTTCTTGTCATTCTGTTGCGTCTAGTAGCGACGAGGGGTACTCACTTGATCTGTTTCTAAGCTCTCAACGAGAGCACCAAATGATAGAGTATTAATTCTAGAGAGAAGTGAGAGCTAGAGAGAGAGAGTGAGTAATTATATTTCTCAACTTGGAACCCCCTATAATTAGCCCCTTGGGGTCTATTTATAGGTAAAAATGTGGGTTTGGGCCCCTAGCTTTGGGCTTAGGAGGCCCATTACAATAATCATGCCTTCTTTGGGCGAAATAAGGCCACTAATGGGCTGTGTACAATACTTAGTAAATACAGTGAAAAATACATTCTGCCTGGATGAAGTCCGGACGATGCGGTCCTGGACGATGCGGTCCATGGACGATGCGGTCCATGGACGATGCGGATCTTTGGGCTTCACCCAAAGAATCCGGGGGATATCTTCTTTCTTTGACGTCGCGTGCTTTTGGCCGATGCGGGTATCCTGCTGGTGTCTTTTGGGCCGCTGAGTATGTGGGCCGTGGGGTCCAGGCCCATATACTCTATCAATTATGCACATATTCCGCATATTTATGGTATTGCATTTATTCTCGATCCTCGTAATAGACTTGGTAATTTGGAAGAATGTTTGAAGTTTTATTATAATGCTTTTTTTGCTCCATTTCCAATGTATGATGATAACGCCATAGATCCGCAAGTTGAATACAACGAGGTTAGTAATTTATTTTATGTCTTATTTAATGAGTTTCGTGCACAATATGGCAACGCGCCCCCTCCCCCGACACACACATCTTCATCTAAAGGAAAATCACTTTTTAAATCTGTTTTTGGCAATCTTATGAAAAAACCTAAAAAAACTCACACTACTGAACAAAGCGCACTTAATGAGATTTCTTTGTATATAAATTATGAGGTAGAATTTGATGAAAATGAGGAGTTTGACGTTCTAAAGTGGTGGAAGTCAAAAGAAAGAATGTTCCAGATTTTGGCACGGATGGCTAAGCAAGTGCTATCAATGCCGGTTTCAACAGTTGCCGTGGAACAAGAATTTAGTTCGGCCGGCAACATTCTAACGGCATATAGAACGAGTTTGAGCGCTGAGTCTTTTGAGACGCTTATATGCTACCACGATTGGTTGAAGGCAAGATGTAGAACTCAAGAACTTAGCATCACCCCCTCCCAAGACTTTATGGATGAATCAATAACAAAAGGTGGCTCCTATACCAGAGATTCCGATTGATTAGTATTTTACAATTTATTATAAAATGTATTTCATGTTTTAATTTTTCCCTCAATTCTCTATTGTAATTTGTAAAGTTGTAGTTCATATTTCAAATAAATATACATTCTTTTTTTATGTGTAGCACTTCTCAAATTAATTAATTAATTAGTTGGTTACGAACTTACAACTTAGAATTTATTGTATTAGTATTTTTTGAAAAATGTATTTCATATTTAAGTTGTAAAAAGAAAAAAAATTGCCTAGGCCCGACCCGACCCGGCGGGTGGCCCGGCCCGAGACCCGGCGGGTGACCCGGCCCGAACCGGAACCGGGTGAAGGACGGGCCGGTTCCGGGCCCCCCATTCCAGGACCGGAGGCCCGACCGGGCCTAGGCCTGGCCCGAACCGGCCCGAGTCCAAGACTACCTGGAACAAGCCAGTCTTTAACAAGACGGGCATACACCTGAGAAAATTAACTAGTCAAATAGAAGTACCACAAACATGGATAAATATTCGTACAAGATAATGGAAGTGCAGAGTTAAACCATACAGGTCAAATATTTGTCCATACATAGGATAAATATTTTGTTCACAACATAACGAACTACATAATCAATCTGCAAATTTAGAATGCTCTTACAGGCATCGCAAAACTCCATTTTCCAAGCATCTCCAATCCTCTTCCTCAAATTCACCATCATATTCATCTTCTCAATCCGAACACATAGTTTTGACAATGAAAAGAAGAATGAATTAATACCACGGCACAATACATGCAGAGCATTTGAGAGCCAAAATAAAAGCAATAGGGAAAGTAAATTAAAAGAATCAACATATTGATCTAAAAAATTAAATAACAAGTTATAGTGTTTCAGTTATTCCAGAATTTATGATAGGAAATGGGCTTATTGGCATTAGTATAAAAATAAGGCTACTGGGCCAGGTAAGTCATGAGTTGGGCTGGCCCTTTTGTTTTAGTATAAGAAGAAAAGGGAGGAAAGGGGAAAGCAGGCTGATTTTGGATTTGGGAATTTGGTTCTGGGAGAGTAGAGGCCTCGAAGTGCCCAATCTATATCTTTCTTCTTCTTTCTGCAGTTGACATCAATAATAATAATCATATAAAAAATTCTATAGGTACCCCAAAATGTACCCCATTTTGTACCCACCCCTGAATTGCCTGTGTACACAGGCAATTCGTTTGAAAGAGGGCAGGACTTTCTGTCCAAATGTCTGTGTACACAAACGATGTACAGATTGGGGTACAAATTGGGGTACCCCAAGCAGCATAAATTGGGGTACAAATTGGGGTACAAATTGGGGTACAAATTGTACATTAGGAGCATAAAGTTGATCAGTAGTAAGAAATCCCCATCGTAGGACTTGCTCCAATTTAATCACATCCTTAATTGGGATTCCTCCTTACTACTTTAATTTTATATATCACCTTCCATCAGGAAATATGTATGTCACACTATGTGAAGAACCAACAACTAGAGAACATTCTTGTGAGCAATAGTGAAAAACTAGAGAATTCCTCAATCTACGCAAACAAAGAATGGTGATATGTATATAAATATATATATGAACTTACGATTCTTTTGACCTTTCCGCCACAGGTATGGCATCCCTACTAAATCATTTTCCACACGAGAGGCATAATTCGCTTCAGCAAAGTAAGTATCGGTCTGACGTGTCCTGACATCCATCGCCTCAAATACTATGCGATAGATGCGGTGGTCTGTTGTGTTCTGGACAGCATTCACTATCCTTGTAAGTTGAAGCTGCATCAGCTGGGATTTCAATATATTGTCCTGAACATTAATATAGTTTTAGCTGTTAAAGGGCATGTTAAAACAAGAAAATGTCTTTGAGAAGAAAACAACGCAGACACACCAGCATGTCACGGTTCTCGTAAAGACCATAATCAATACACTTCTTAATCCGCTTGTATTCCTCTTTGTCTTTCAAATCAACAGGGAAAAGAATATCTGAAAAAACCAGTATAAGCTCTCTTAGTTTATAGTTAATACTTAATACCAGTGTAAATACATACAACAACATTGACGAACAGAAAAAATCATTTAAGTCGATAACATTTCCAACTACAAATATGTCTAGCTTATTACTACGTATATACAAATAACACTGGTATTTAAGTCAAATAACAGTGAATACTCAATCCTACGACATGCTGAGTCAGAAAACAGAATGACAAGCAAATCCAAGTCACTAGACGATTTTCAATACCCAGTGACTCATTTAACTGGCGAGTAACTTGGTTGATTTTAAAGCGTGAATGCTTTAAAATCAAATTGAAGAATCCGATCAAGAAGAATTTAGGGACTCCGGTTTATCAAATCACGTTGTCAGAGCTTTAATGAGTAGTACGCACTACATAATTCCGGCCCATCTTATTATTGTATACACAAACTTCACAAAAGCTAATACTTGGGAAAAAACATCAGCAATTTTAACTACTACAAGCTTCCTGGTGGAGATCATTGGTTTAACTTTTAATGCTTTAAGGATGGTGCTAGTGGTTGCGGATTGTTTTTTTTGCTTTATATATCAGAGTAACATTGTCACAGATAAGTAGTGCATATACCGTCATACATAAGCACACTTGCACACAATTTTTTTTTTTGCTTATGCAGTACCAAGTATATAGTACCTTTCATTTGATCTTTCCTCCTAATGAACAACAACTCCTTGTAATCCCTACCGTGCCCACAAAATACTTTAGCTTGATATGTATATGTAGCAGACTGGTTAGAAACTGTATTCAGGGCCTCAAAAGTTATGAAAAAAGCGTGATTATATGAACTACGCTTATTAGCCTTCACAATCTTCACCAGCTGAAGATGGGACTTGGACTTCTACACCACAGAAAAAAAAAAGATATTGGGGGAAAGGTTAGTTACACCATAGTCAGTATGCAGTATTTTAGAGAAGCGAAAGTGCAATACACATACCATGAGACGATTGTATTGAGCAATGGTGAAATCAGTACACTCCTGGATAAACTCCATCTCTTTTGGGTCATCAAGCTTACAGGGGAAAATGTGGCTTCCGAATATCCTACGAAAAGCCCGCGGAACGAAATCTACATCAAAACCCTTAAGACAAAAAACATCAATGGTGTCGGCTAATATATAACACGAATCCATATAAAACAACCAATCGATCAATAGTATTACTGCTTACTTCGCTTTCAATGACCTGGCGTTCATACTTCAGATATTCCTCGATGAGGTTTTTATCGTTGATGTGCCCCAAACCTCCGTCGTCCTCGCTCGAAACTCCGATCAAAAACTTATTTGGCCTTCTTTCCTCCGCGCCAAGCTTTGGCTTTTTCAGCGGTGATTCAAGGATCGGCAAAGTCTCCGACTGCATCATCTTCGAAATCTGGAGAAAAAGGTCGGTACGGTCGGTGGTTTGCTATGTCTAGTTGTCACAAAGACGAGTCAATACGATGTTGCCAGCCAATACCCCTGGTTATCTCCAATGTTATAATGTCACGTTGCATATGTGGCATGAGTGATAACCACATAAATATTAGCAAATGAATTATTTATCTCCTTATTTGAATGACTTTATACGCTTTTGGTAAGTTTTTCCCTGCAATGTCAACAACAATGTCAACATTTAGACGGTCTCCTTGACAGTGTGGAGAAAAACTTACCAAAAATGTATAAAATCATCCAAATAAGGAGAGAAAGAATTTATTTACTAATATTTATGTGGCTATTTCTCATGCCACGTGTGCACCGTGCACATTTTACCATTGGAGATGCTCTTATATAACTTTATACAGTAAATTATTATTATTATTGCTTATTAAGGATGTTTTTACTTGGACTGTAATTTGCCCCAGACCAGACCAGACCAGTCCAGACCAGACCAGACCAGTTCAGACCAGACCAGACCAGACTTGGATAGTTATAAAAATACAAAGAAACCAGACCTTACCAGACCAGACCAGACCAGTTCAGACCAGACCAAATCAGACCAGACCAGACCAGCAAATTCCAGTCCAAGTAAAAACATCCTAACCCAACAATCAATCTGATGTTGCATGTAAAAAAAAACCGCCCGCAATGACCAACCCTGGCCCGAGACATTTGGGGCAGGTCCGTCCCGCCCCATCTTGTAAATGGGGCGAGTCCGCCCCGCCCTGCCTATACAATGGGGTTGGTCTGGATATTAGTATTGACTCATGTCGTTCTGCTTAGGAGTGGGTGTGGTTCTTTCAGTTCGGTTTTGACCTAAAACCCAATACGGAACCAAAGTGAAAGTTCAGTTCGGTTTCGGTTCGGTTTTACACTCCAAAACTTGGAACTACGGTTTGATTGGTTCGGTTTGTTTCGATTCGGTTTCAGTTTTTTCGGTTTTTTACTAAAAATTTGTTATTTGATTTAAAATTGATGTAAAAGTTGGAGGGATCAAACATATTACATAAAAATGCAAGCATACTTGAACAATAAAGAAAATAATAATAAACAAATATATCTTGAATTATATGAGTATGCGGGAGAGATAAAAGTGTGTATATATTCTTAATTTACATTGTTTGTGACTAGTTTGAAAAAAGTTTATGAATACATATGTCCTATGTGATATAGCTGAGATGAATATTTAATTGTTTTATCAATATAAAAATTTAAGTTACAAAAAAAAAATTACATAAAAATAAAAGTTAATTACTACTAATAACCAGTAAAAACATATAGTCATGCAACAAATTGCAACATACATACATAAAAGACATAATAGATCAATATAGCTACATTACTATGGGCAATGAATGTGTAAATGCATTTATAAACTAAACTAAACTAAACATAGCATAAACATTATTTCTCTAGCACAAGAAATTCAATGATTATTGATGATATTAAGATAGACGCTTACGAGCCCGTTTGGAGAACTCTGTTTTCGGCTTATCAGGCTTATCAGCCAGCTTTTTCACCAAACACGTAACTTTTACTTTCGCGCGCTGAATTGAGTAATAAGCCGAAAAAGTAAGGTTGGAGTTACTTTTCTGGCTGTATTGGCTGAAGTTACTGTAGAGGACCATTTTAGCTATTTTTACATATAATTTTTTCTTTAATTTATTAATAAAATATATTTTTAAAATATTTTTTTCTTAAATCAGCAGAATCAGCCAAAACAGCCACTCCAGCCAGAATATCATAAATTTCAGCAGAATCAGCCAAAACAGCCGATTTTGGTGCTACCAAACGGGCTCTACATTTAACAAATAAAATTTTATATTTTATTTTTGTTCGGTTTTGAAGGGTAAAAACCAAAACCGAACCACACTACTATGGTTCGGTTCGGTTTTTTACATTCGGTTTCGGGTTTTAGCGGTTCGGTTTTATTTGGTCGCGGTTCGGTTTAATTTGATTCGGTTTTCGGTTTTTCGGACCCAGCCCTAGTTCCGCTCAATATGTAAGTATACATTTTTACTTAAATTATACTCCAAATATACTTCATCATACATATGTGTACATAATAAATCATATATGGTTTGATCTTATACGGAGTAATATAATTATATTTATATTTGAATGAGATGAACGACGAATTATCAATGTCTACTTTATATAGCATTTTGATATACACACACACACACACACACATTCAATTATCAATTTTATTAAATAGATTAGCTATTCAAGTCTATGTATTTTTTTTTTAAATTTTTGAAATATTTAGCATATCGTGAATTTAATTTAATATATTAGTTTTAATAATTATTTAGAGAAAAAGTTTATGTAGATTCAATAGGTAACAACTTTCCACAAATAAAAATACATACTAGCTAATTAGGTTACGGCAGGGTGGGGTGGGTCATGGGTCAACAAGTTTGGACCTGTGCGGGTCACGAGGCGGGGCGGGTCCACCCAGTAAAGTCACGGGGTGGGTCTGGGTTGTCACGCCCCGGACCTCCCCGGACACGTCAACAACCCGCCGTACAATACGAATAGTCAACCGCAGTCCAACACATTCATATTATACAAGGCGTCTTGAATATCATTCACACACATAACATCCATAAACAAACATAATAAGTAATTCATAACGCAGCGGAAACATCGTTTAAAACAAAAGGGCCACACAGGGCTATTCATGAGCACGCAAGCTCTATAGTAAAATATCCATGAGCATGTTTAATATTGTTCAAAACAGAATGGAGAAGGCACGAACCACGTCTTCTCTCCAAAGGATCACCCGAGCAACGGACACAGGTACCAAGCTCGAGCCTCAACCTGAAATGGTGGTGGGACGCCCCCGAAGGGGTCAGTACTCTATACGGCTATAAAGTACTGGTGTGGATGGCATCTAAGGGATATACAACAAGTATTTCAAACACAAGACCCTCAAATAGGGTGATAATACAATATAGTGGTAACCCTAAGTTACCCCGTTTAAAAATATACTTACTTTATATAAAAATCAAGTAGTTGGCCCATGGACCCATATTCATTTCAAAATCACCATTCCCATTCCGCACGACTATAAGCCACGGCAACTTGTAGAGTTCATCACATCATCGTTGCATAGCAAGGGCTCGGCCCAACTACGTTTCTATGCAAATCACAATTTACATGGCAAGGGCACGGCCCAACTACGTTTCCATGCAAATCACAATTACATGGCAAGAGCACGGCCCAACTACGTTTCCATGCAATCATAGAGTCCGGCTCTAATTCTTCATTATAGTCCAATTCCTAAGCAACCCTATGCCTAGAATTGACATCTCAATAATCTACCTTGGGTCATTCTTAATGACTGCCCATAACTTACTCTTAGCTTCATACTAAGTCATTTTATACACTTGAAGTACATTCAAGTGCATTCCATACAATCCAATACCTAGGATCAATTCTATCAACAATTTCAAATAATCACTAACTAGTATTTCAATACTATTAAGATTATTGTCATCATACAAATACCCTCATTTTATAATTCTCTACATATTTATAAGTATGTAGCAGCAACTTAAATATTCAACTTCAATACATAAATATTCATTTATGTATCCACATATTTAATACATGAGTAAAATCCCTATTTCACAAAATAGTTCATTTATAACTCATTTAACCTCATATTATTCATACATCCTCAAATCATTTCCAATTTCATTCTTTGGGAACTATATCAATATTTCATCAATGTTTAATCATCATAATCCATGAAAAATTATGATTTATGCATTTAGGTAATCTCATACTTAACCTACAAGTTGTAAGCAATTAGATGTCGATCCTCACCTTAATTGAGCTTTAAACTTTTCCTTCTTGATCCAACGGCCATAGCTTCGGTCAAGGTGGATTAAGAACTGATTCCTTGCTTAAATATAAGTGTTATACAGCCTCCTCAAGGTGCTAGCTCAACTCCTAACCGAAGACACGAAAACAGTCCCTAGAACGGGTGTTTTCCAACGAATTCGTTCCCTAACCTTTCAAGGTTTTGTCTAGGTTAGTATCTAACCTTTCCAACAATTAAAGTCACTTTATAATAACATTTTATACAGTTCAACCATTGTATAATAGTTCTTTAATCATTTATATGATTTAGACAATAGAGAGGAAGGTTTTGGATTCAAACTTACTTGGAATACAAAAACGTATTCTGCGAGGTTGTGTTTTGTGCGGACAATTTGGAGGCCTTCAACTGCTCCGTTTTCTTCAAATCGCATGGCTATGGATTCCCTTTCTTGAGAGATTTCAGTGGACAACTCACACGCCCTTTTTGGATGAGTATGTCTCAAGATACGAACCAAACAGTGAGCTCCACGAACTAGAGATTATTCCTGCGGCCAGCTCCCTTATCCCTCTCCTTTTTGAGTGTGAGGCTCTCCCTTCTTTCTTATCCCTTTTGGTTCGAATGGGGGGTGAGGGGGAGGTTTTTAGGAGCTCTCAAAATGATATCTAGGCATGTGGTTCACAAAAAGAAAGGGTAGGGTGTTTGATTGCAATCAAACATGGTGTGGCCTCTTTTATTTCCTTTTTGTAATGTTGTAGCTCTTAAGTCAAAATGTCCGCCCCACATAGTTGTCTCACCCATTTTTCTTTGTCTTGCAGGTACCAAGGTCATGTGGGATGGTTCCCAAAATGATCCCATTCAATTTGGGATCCAAAATGCCTACCAATACTTCCAAAATGAAAAGATGGACCCTATTGTTTTATCTTTGTCATGAGATGTCTTTTTTTACTCACTATAATTTATGTAGGTCAAGTCAACTTCATACATCATATTATTGATCCCCAATATGTTTGGAGTCATCCCAATAATTTACATGATGAATATTATAGAAGGAAAAATCCTACTCTCATTATTTAGCTCAATAATGTCAATGATGGGGTCATAGGCATTTGTATTCTTCTCTAACCATCCTATTACTTATTTGTGACTTTTGTATTTATGTTCATGGAATACAAGCCGTGTGGGTCACCCTCGAGTGGGCCTCGGACGCCCTTCTTGAATACTTACTATTTTTA